ATCTCTTCTTCCCTGCTCTTTAGCTTTTTCTTCTTGCTGTATTACACTGTCTTCCTTCCAGACTTTTTGTCTTACCTGTGCTTTTACTCTTCTGCTTCCCCAAGAGTGCTTCTGTCTGTTCTGAGAACATGTAGGATAATACTCTATTACTCCTCTTTAATAGGTGTTTTGGACAGTGAAAAAAGTTGTCTGCTCTTCTCTTGGCTCAGTCCAGCAACTCCTGTTACGAGGTCTTGAGGAGGAGTTTAGCTAATAAATATGTATCTATTTGTTGTCTTTTCTGTATGCGTGTGCGCTTGTTTGTGAAAGCTTCACCATTTTGTTTTCCCTCATAATATTTTTCTGAAGAGAAAGGACCTTGTTGCAGTGAAAAGTTAATATCAGTACCGGTTTCCACAGACATGTGAGGGAAAGAAAATACTGCAAAAGACAAATTACTTGGGGGGTGGGTGGTTGAGGTGGTGTCAGGATGGAACATCTTGGAAGCATGATTATTTTAATATAATTTATTTTTGCAAGCTCCTTCTAAATGTGTTTGCAGCACATGCTGTTCCAGGCTGTGGTGTGGGAGGACCCTGAGAGTCTGTCTGAGGGTCCTAGAGCTCCTCTGGCACAGTGGCTTTGCACAGGCTGCGGGACATTAGGAACTTATGAAAACATTCACTACTTCACCAAAGCCTGGAACTGCAATACATTGTACTAAGTGCAGCATCTCTCTAGTGGGACAAACTGCATGTGTGCAACCATGTAATTGCACAGCATAAGATAGAAATATCATATGCCTGGCCAGTAAAACAGATGAGAAGGAAATCCAGCCCTTGCTGTTGGCATGCACCTACAGAAAGTGCAGGGAACAGAACTAGAACATCTTAGACTAAGATCACACCTTAATATATAATAGGGTGATATTTGAAGAGCTGTAGCATCTTCAGAGACTTGTGACTTGATGATTCAGCACTTGCATTTTGTAATCTTCTGAGTGGTTTTGCTTATCATGGGTTGATAAAAAAGCTTGAAACTTGGTCACGCTTTGGGGATTACCTGTGTCATCTGAACCCCTGTGCCACTGGCTTAATGAGAGAAATTAGGGTGTTTGCTGCTGCTGGGTGGGAAGGGGTGCAAGCTAGAGCTATCCCTCTTTGTCCAGGTGAATGTGGCTTTAAGACTGACAGTCCTGGAGTCCTTGGACAAAAGTAAAGGGTATCATTTCCCACTTATGAGAAGTCTCACCTGCTTTGTCATTCAGCTTCTGTCTTCATGTCTCAGTTTTGTATCTTGTACACCTAAGTGACAGAGCAGTCTTAACTTCTCCATGATGCTTTATATTCACTTAAGGCCCTCCATGTTCCCAGAAGGTAGCTGAAGACAGCCTTCTTTGCTACTAATGGCCGGGGCTGTGATGTTGTGTGGTTGTTCTGTCTGGCTTTGGCTAAAGCATAAGGATATTTTATACGGATGTTGTGCAAACTGTTATGCATGTGCAGGGGAGTTGCAATGGTCAGGGTCCCAAATGAGGATTTAAGAAGGCAAAAATACCCCAGAAATGGGCCATAACACCTCAAAAAAAAAAATTATTTCTGGATATAAGCTGGCTCTGCTTTGACAGGAGAGATACAGTCATTCGGTATAAATGGACAAGTGAATGTGAAGGGCTAAGAACATTAATTTGATTCCCACATTCTCATCTCCTAACTCAGTGAATTACTGTGCTTGCCAGATGAATATCCAGGTTAAAAGCTGATTGGCAGCTACACATACTATCAAAACGTGTCTCCACCCAGATGGTTTTGAATTTTCTTTCTGATTTTGTATTGTAGTGGTGATGAAATTTCTTTGTAAATTTAAGGGGTTTACTGCTAGATGAGCAGGCTGGGCTTGAACTAGAATGTGCTACTTTGAGCAGGGACTTTCTTTGAAAACAAAACATAAATTTATGCTGGAAATTACCCTGTAGTAATTAACTTCTGGTAATTTCCAGATTATGAGATTCAGGAAGAGTCCTCTGCTTTGAGAAGCAGGGGCAAGTAAGTTTATCAGGCTTCATGGTCAGGAGGTGATGGTTTAATAGTCTATGATAAAAAGAGAGAATAATGTCCTGGATAGGAATTAGTAAAATTGAGTAACCTGTTTATGAGTAAACTGTAACCTTTAGTAACCTATATTTATATATAACCCAATTTATAATTGCAAGATTCTTCAGTACAAACAGAGGAGAGTTTGAATAAAATGATGGAACATATAATAAGTTAGAGGGTCAAGGCAGGGTTGTCCTGTTGTTAGTGACAATTATCTTTGACCTTTCAGGTGAGCTTTGGGCTTCTAGTGGGTACAGAAGGAGGATGGTATCAAGCAAAACAGTGTATGAATAGTAATGGATGCATGAAAAAAAAAAAGATATCTATACCTGGTGTTTAGCTGCTAACAATATTTGAAGCAAAATAGGGCTAGAGATTGTATTTGTATGCGTGTTTATAAAGAAACTAACAGACTCACTTGTTGAAATTTTGTGCCATGTGAACACTGAGAGCTGTCAGACAGGAATGATTTTATTTTGCCTACTTATTTGTATAATACAAAGAATGTAACATTATAGTATTAAATCAGTCTTAAAACTTCAAAATTAAAACTGATTTAATAAGTCAGCCATGTTTGGAATATTTCCATTCTGGTTTAATACATATATCAGATAAAGTAATTTTAAAAAATATATTAAAAACCTTCCTTTTTGTATGCTTGAAGGTGCAATCTTTATGATGTAGTCATATGACTTTTCTGTTAGGAATGGCCAAATCTTAGGTCTCTAAATCCATGTTTAAACCAGCCAGCATCTCATTCCTCATAGCGCTGTCTACTGCTATATATACCATTGACAGCATAACAAGCTGTGAACTCAGAAAGTTGTTACTTGGCCAATGAACCACATGAGCTTGTGGGTTCTGGTCTGAAGTTCTCTCTCTCAGTGGAGTTCAGAAACTGCCATGTAAGTAGTTTTTACCCACCTTTTGTAATATGACTGTCAAAACAGAGCACATTGCACTTGCAGTCCCTGAGTCTCTTAAGATGAAATAGCTTGGCAATTGATAGACTGTTGGATCAGCCGTTGTGCTACCTCAGAATTTTTGTGCTTTTTTTTTTTTTCTCAGAGCTAGCATGTGTGTTAGTGCCTGCTGTTCCTATTTTTTCTATTATTCCATTGTGTTATTTTTTTACACAATTTCTTCTTAAATCTTGTTTTAGGGATCTCATAAATTACTAGAAAAGGGGGGGAAATGTCTCTCTGTTGACATAGCTTCTTAAGGTCCTTAGTTCATAAACCAGATTTGTATCAGTAATTCCAAGTAACTGTTGAATTTTTGCAGAAGATTAAGAAGAATCAAGAAATCTAACATTCCTATCGATAATCTGTTTTATCATTAGTGATTTTTATCATGAGTGCACTTGATGTAACCCTCTTGGCCACCCTTTCTTACTACATGTTAATTCATCTTGTGGAGTCTATTTGACTTCTTTCAAAAAAGGTGATCTGCAGAAATGCAGCTAATGTTAGTGTGTGCAGACAAAACATCCTGTGTAAGAATTGAAAGAAAATACTGTGTGATTAGTAAAATCTGGAGAGATTGCATATAAATCCTGTGGATGGGTTCAGTGAAGGAAGTAGGCATGTGGAAATGAGAATTTAGATTGGCAAGGAAAGGAAGGGTCCTTTGTCAAAAGGGGAAAGCTCCTCTCCCTTACCATTTCCACACCCAGTGCCAAAAGGGTTTCTGCTAGTGAGGGTTGCCGTTCCTGAAGGCATGTGTGTAGTCAAACATACATGCATACACACATACCCATGTCAAGGCGACACTAGGGCTTTCCATTTCAAATGGGTTGCAGTTTGCCTTGGTTCTCCTGAATTTGCTTTCTGGGGTGTTACTGAACTGCCCTGCTGAAAGGTCAGGTGTGCACCAGCTCTGGTGCGTGGGAGGCGGCGACTGTGTGTGTCAACAGGAGAAAAAGTGGTGGGATGCTGATAGCAAGACCAGCTCTTTTGTTTTCTGAAATGTCATCCTCAGTTGCTTTTGGTGTGCTGTAACTCCAAAAAGCTAGATTTGTAAAGATGGATTTGAGAGATTGCCATGCTGATGGGGTAGTGCCCTGGGAGTTGGTGTTGTGCTGCTTTGCATCCACACCAGGTCAGCCCCCTCCTTGCACCATGACTTGGAATACTGTTGTTACTGAGATGGCTCTGGAGTAACAGAAAGGGAAATGAGTTTATTTACTTGAAGCTTTATTAAAAGTCATTAATTAATAATTAATCCTGAAGCAGCATGAACCAGGAGAAAATCTCTCCTATTCTGTTTTACTTTCTGGCAGCCGTGTTGGGTTGTGAGTACAGAGGGAATAAAGCATAAAACCATTTTTTGTAGTCTATGGTGAGGACCGTGTCCCCTTTGTTTATTCAGGATTGACAAGTATAAGGTTGGTTTTCATTTTGAGAGGCGAAATCCACCACGAGGAAAGTGTTTTACTCCATCACAAATTCTCATTTTTCCTCTGAAAAGTTATTTGGATGGAAAAAAAAATTTGAACAGCCCTGAGATAAAGCCATTTAAAAATTATTTCCTTTTTTGTCTTACTCAAATTGCTCTCTTTCAAGCCTGTAAATGTCTGTGTGACCTGCTAAATGTGAACCCTTATTGTTGGGTCTGCAGGATTAAGAGGAATCAGGACAGGTGCAGAGAGTTGCATGGGGACTTCTGGTTTGTTACAGTGACTCTTATTCCTTGGGGACAGAAATAACCCTCTTGATCATTTTATATGTATGTGTAAATTGTAGCTGCCAGTACTTTGCATTATTTGTATACAAAAATACATAAAATGCAAAATATTGATAGCCATGATTTAAAATGGTGTTGGCAGATTTTTGTTTTATTGAATTTGTGGCTGTAGTGAGTGTGTGCATGCGTGTTCAAGAATATTAGGTGCATATAGAATATATTTTATTTGTATTTTTATAGTTAAAACAGAACCAATGAGCAGCAGTGAGATTGCTACTGCTACTACCACAGACGGATCTTTAGACAATTTCTCAGGATCAGGTAAGAAATAAAAAAAGGTTTTAAGCTCAGCATTTTTAAAATTTACTATTTTCTTATCCCACGTGGTCTAAACCTGTACACAGCTGTTAAAAAGCCATGTGTGCTTTGCAGCTTATGCCTATTTCTGTTCCTCTTACTCAGACAGTGTAAGTTAATAGTTTTCCCCAAGTAAGGAGCATCAAAGCGTCAGGCTTATTAATGTCCATTGGTGTCTTCAGTGGGAGTCTCACTAGGGAGTACTCTGGCCCAGAGTAATTACTCTTTTGATTCCTGTGAGTAAACATACCTGCCTCTGTGATTAATGTGGTAATTGAGGGATAGGTCTTCCTCATTTATTGTAGTTTATTATTCTCAAAGTATTTATTCTTTTGTCAGGCTTTTTTTTCTCCCTGGAAGCCATACACATCTCAGCTTCTAACATAGAGGAGACAAACACTGTGAGAAAATCCTAAGATGTCTGCATAGTTTTGCATACTTATGGATTAAATGTGGCATTTCTAGCATCGCTTCGTTTTGATGGTGTGAATCAAAAGAAAAGGGATCTAATACTATGTCTCCAGAGTCACAACACTTGACATTTCAAAACCAGTCGGGCTCCAACCAGCTAGCCCTCTTCTGGTCTTGTTATGGCCACCATTCTCTGCATATGCTGTTCAGAGTGAAAGTAGGATATCCGAAAGGCAGAAGAAAATGTTTCTAGGGAATTTTAAATCTCTGAAACAGGAAAAAGCAGTGTGTTTAATAGTAGCTATGTACATCTGTGGTGGCCTGACTGTAACATTTGACGCTCTCTGCAGCCCCAGAGGCCACAGAAAAGGAAATTATAGGGTGTGGAAGGCACGGGAAGAGATTCCCTGCTTCCCTCCCAGCCTCGTGAGCACTCCTGGAGTGTAGAGATGATGGATTTTCTCTGTAGCTGGCCAGGAAAGGGGTAGCTGGCCAAGGGTAATTATCCATGCCTTGTTTATTTCCAAGCACTTAGCAATAGGGCCTGTTGTTTCTCCGCTGTCTGATTTTACAGTAGTTTCATAACCTGCCACTGACACCTTCCTGGCAAAGGCTTCAAACCTCACCTTGAGCCTTGGAGAACTGGCACCCAGTTGGTAACCAGAGAGGGAAGGGCTCCTGAAAATGATGCCTGGAGCAGAGCACACTGGCCCATCTGCCGTGATCTCAGCAGCACCTGAAAGTACAGAAAGGCACTGGGGTGGGTTCTTGCGAAGCCCTGTGTCCGCAGGGGCAGAGCTGCCGGGGAGAGGCTTGCTGCTTACCCTCCTAGGCGTAAGCACCTCACCAAGGGCATTTGCACACAGGATGGCTTTGTACAATACTGTCTGTTCTGAGGGTCTGAAAGCGTTTTAGAAAGCAGGTAAGATGGGGGGAAAGAGAAGGAAGTGTAATAGGGTAATACGCCATCTGTATTATGGAATTTTTTTTAAAAAAAAGAGGCACGTGCTCTGAAGCAGCCATATGTTTTCAATTGAGGTATGCATAAAGCTCCTTCATAAAATGTAGGTCTTAAAAATTCTAAAAGTTAATAAAATGTTGCACTTGAGATGTCAATAATCCTTTGAAAATATGAAGGGAAATGTTTCCATTAGGAAATAGATTGTTTTCATTGAAAATGTTGTCTGTGTGTGAGCAAAGAATAAACTATTTCTCAGGAGCTGTACAAAGGAGCAATTTAGTGTTTGAGATTTGCAATCAAGATTTTTAATGTTAAGCATTCATGTGTAGCTCCTGATAAAGTACTAGTTTCTATCTAAAATATCAATTATATTTGAATTTAATTAAAATCTTGTTAATACTCTGAAATTCTATTAGGAAAAATAATATTTATCTTTGGTGTGTGTATTTACACTTCTGTGTGCTTTCTTTTCTCCTTGGTGCAGCAATTGGAAGCAGTGGTTTCAGCCCAAGACAAACACACCAGTTCTCCCCACCACAGATTTACCCTTCCAAGTATGATATCTTTTAAAAATAATGATAGTAGTAATAATAACTGGAATAGGTAGATTCTAACCTCATTTAAAATAATAATTGGGTCCATCTGTTAAAGTAATAATTTAAACTGCATCAGCTTCTAGGGGAAAAACAGGAATTTCTTTAAATGCTAAGAATGTGTTTGAAAAATGTTTGGAAAGTTCTGTTTTACTTATTCTCTTGTTATTGATCTCTTATGGTTGTTTTGTCTTTATCTTACAGTTTCTGTTATCTAGCACAGCCTATGATTGTGTTAATGAAGTAGCAGGATTATAATAAAGATAAAAATAAATACACGCATATCTGCCTAATGCAGCGTCTGTCCTATTTTCTGTCATTTGTAATCAATAGCAGACCATACCCACATATTCTTCCTACCCCCCCTTCACAAACGATGGCTGCATATGGGCAGACGCAGTTTACAACAGGGATGCAACAAGCTACAGCTTATGCCACTTACCCCCAGCCAGGCCAGCCTTATGGAATCCCTTCATATGGTAAGAAATCACGTCTGTGTTATTTTATTCCTGAGGTAAATGTTTTTTAGATCAAGATTATGTGACCCTTGTGCTAGTACTTAGTGGGACAGCTGTGGTCTACAGCATTTCTTGTGGAAGATTGGTGATTTCCTCATTGATGTGAATGATGCTTACTTTGTGTATTATAAAAGAGCTAAGAAGCTACTCAAGAGAATGTCTCTGTTTTGGGATCAAGATTTTATGAGGCCTTTGCTGGTGACATTAAAGAAACCCCAACAAACCAAAACCAACACTGAAATGGGAGAAGAGATCTAGGGATTTCCATTATACAGGCACAGCTCCTGGTGACCTGCCCAGGAGCTCTGCTCTCCAGCAGTGTGGTAAGGTACATTGGTATATCAAGGTCTGAATTTCAGCTAATCCAGACTACTGGAACCTAGCGGAATCAGTGAAGCTGTGCTGATTTTTCAGCAGGTGAGAAACTGATTCAAAAAGAGCCCCAACAAAAAACAAACAAACAAACAACAACAAAAACAAAAACAAAAACAAAACAAAAAAAAACCAAAAAAAACCAAAACAAAACAAAAAAAAAAAACAACCTCATTTTCAATGTTTTAAAACTCCCTGGAAGTGAAAATAAATTAATTTAAAAACAAGCTGCTGTGGGTGAGACCATTTTGCTGCCAGACTGTCTGCTGGCAGACCATATAGCAGTTCGGCAGTGACGATGCATTATTAGAAAATAGGTCTAATATTCCTCTGGGGTAACAGATTAAAAATATACAATCCCAATGCTTTTAGCAGCATATGTTGTAAAGATACATTCAGATAATGTAAATTTTATACCTAAAGTGCTGAACTCACGGTACAAGCTACACCCCTTAAAATTATTAAAACTTTCAAGTGCAAAACTGGTGAATCTTTCATACTGAAATCTGCAATCTGAAATCCACTGGATCTCAAGTATACCCTACAGCAGATTATTGTGAAGAGCAGGTACAAGAACTAGATTATCATTTCTCCTTGCTTTAAAAACAGTTTGTCATTAATATATAATCAGTAATTATGATCAGAGGAAGCATTGTTCTGAGGCTACAGCTTTGATTACTTACTGCCAAAAATATAGACATGAACTGGGTGTTTTAGTTTCAGTTGCATTCCACATATTTTAAACTTACACAAACGAAATACTTTAAGGATATTTAAACTACATTTTCAATACTATGGGAGATGGGGATTCTTGTACCCACCCCCTCCACAAACTCATGGAGCTGATGGAGCTTGTCTGGTATTTCCAGCTGGATCAGGAGTGTGATAACAGACAACCCCTTTCCCT